ATATAGGCTACACTAATGTGATGTTTATGCGGTTCATTTAACTATTATACTTGATGTATGTTTTTGGGGGGTGGTTAATGAAAGGGGTCCAAAATAACATTACTTTCTTGAGGACCTAATATATGAATAAATAAAATTTTAATATTATATAAGCAATAAGTCCTTAATTTTATAAGAAATATTTCAAAAAATCCTAAATCTCTCCTAGTATGAGAATCATAACATTACTTTCTTGAGGACCTAATATATGAATAAATAAAATTTTAATATTATATAAGCAATAAGTCCTTAATTTGATAAGAAATATTTTAAAAAATCTTCAATCTCTCCTAGTATGAGAATCATGACATTTGTTCTATAAGTCATCTCCCTTCATTAATTTATTTACCACCTTTCTCTGAAGTATGGAATTTAACATAAATTACTCACTGTGACATAAATATTTCAAAGTCAAAGTCTAATTTTATAGCCCCCAATCATAACTTTTAACAGAGTTATAAATTAGAAAATCAAATTAACTTGCCACACCCACCTGTCACAGCCTTTCTTTCAAAAATTGCTAATAATTCTCTGATGTTTTATACTATACCATTTATAACCACTAGGATGGCAAAGTTTGAATCTATTGAATGACACATAATGCTTTGTTTTCAGTATAGAGTATTTTCAATTTTGTCTTCAGTTTGAAAGTTTATTTTGTGGTATTCAGATCTAGCAGTAAAGGGAATTAATTTAAACCACTCTTGTCTTAGTTGGAAAGTCAGTTAAATTATAATAGTTATAGGACATTATTTGCTTTGTGCGTGTTTTTATTCTATATCCTTAGGTGCATTATTTAAGTAAATAATTATTTTATGAACAAGTACCATCATTATTACAAGTAGATTTATATTTCCTCAGCAACCAATAGCAAAATAAGATGTTGAATGTAATTACTGTATTTCTTTTTTCCATGTATATATTTTTTTATCTATTTTTATAAAAGTAACTTAAATGTAAAAACTCAAAACTCATTATGTTTATATAAGGTTAGATTAGGTAAGATAATGAAAAATAATAATAAAGAAACTTCATGATGTATGCTCGTGAGCAACTTGTGTTACATCATTCAATACGGCAACATGAGCTATGTGCCTGCCGAGTGATTTACAACTTGTGTAGCAGTTAGGGTTGGTTCAAAAGGTGATAACAACAGTAAATTATAAGACAGTAACTCACCTCTATACACAGTTTAGCTATATTTCTCACGTGTCCATGTGATTTGGATGCCACTAGCCTTGAGGCAACTCCCACCTAGTTTCTCTTATTTTAATGTGAACTGCACTGGTGTGTAATGATGTCATCATACAACAAAAGCCCTCCATCAGTAGGAAGGAGAAATAGACTCCATGCACAGTAACTCCCCCTATGCATTTGCACATGATAACTTCATTCTTCTCCTCAGCATTGTATTGAACAGACTATTTAAATTTCTTGTTTCAGTTCAGTTTGTTGTGATTTGTATTATCAATGTAAACTTTTAATTTTTTTTTTGTTCTTTTTTTTTCAAAAGCTTTAAATTTTTATTGAGAATTCTCAAATGATAGTGACAGGTTTACGTAGTTGTAAATGAGTACTTTTGATTGGATATAATCATGTATGTACTTAAGAGAAGTAGGCATAGGTAAACAAGTATTTTCAAATGAGAAGAGTATAATGCAAAGTATAATGATACCTCAATATAAAAAAGAAAAGGTAGGAGGTTCTTGTTTTATATTCTAGCTTGTCAGAATTAGTAATTTGAGTTTTTATTCACTAAAACCTGTAGACTTTACATTTTATGACACCCACAATACAATAAGAGCAAAACCAGAGGATGATGTACCATGTGCCACACAAAAAAAATCAATATTTAGCCATTTTTTATATTTAGTTGAACTAAGAAATTGGGTAATGTATAATACTAAAATTTTAATTACAAACTAAAATGTTATTCTAAATTTATGTACGAACATACATCAAATAGTTGTTTGATAAAAATTTTGAATGTAAGTAAAAAAAATGTGATGAAATGTGCCCTTACCTCTACTCGTATAGAAAAGATTAACCTGATTTGCTTTGGGTAGTGCCATTTGCCTGTGTTCTTTATTGGTTCTCATTTTTTACTACATGGTCTACAATTTCTGGGTTTTCTTTGCTTGTTATTAGTATTTATGATGTTTCCTTTCTCTGACATCTCCTCTCTCACATACAAATACTTTACCCTCCTCGCATTCATGACTAATTTCTTTTGTTGCTTTTTTCCTCATTTCATTTTATCCTCCCTCTGACCCCTTCTATGTTTTTTTTTTTCGTATAGTTTACAGTTGGCCATGGTTGATGTTTTGGACACCTTCATCCACATTATTCTTGATCTGTACTTCTTATGTATTCTATATCTTGTCCATTGTCCATCATTTTTGCATCTTGCCATTCCTTGCTGTTCACTTCAAGTTAACGTCGGTCCTTGTTATATTCATTGTTATTGTTAGGGCCTTCACTTACCACATTCACAGCTCTGGTACAGTGTTCCTTTTTTTCACATCTCCCTTCATTTACAGGTGGCTACTTGATTGGGGGTGGGGGATTTATCCTGAGATCTAGATTCTTCTCACACCAATCAGTATCTGGTATTTCTGGACATTTTTGTCATTTCTTGTCTCAGCCAAGTTCAGCCCTCTCCTCATTTGTGAACTATGATGTATCTGGTCACTGGGTTTTGCACTTTTCATTCCCTTCCTGCATATGAAGTTCTTTACTTTCAAGGACTGTGGCTTCCCTGGAACCCCTCATTCCTTTGAGACATGTGCACATATGCCTCCTATAGTTGACCTTGCAGATTCCAGGGATTTCTTTCTTGGGTTCCATTGCTTCACTTGTGACCCTCTCCCTGAGGAATTTTTATGATGACTGGTCTGTACTCATACTGCCTATGGCATTCTCCTATCGTCTCATGAACCGGATCTTTTTTTTCACTGATGCTCCCCTCTCTTATTGAAGTATATCTCTGGTAGAGGGTGGAACTTCTGACATTGATGTGGAGTGAATGTGATTGACCTTCTTGCTGTTCCTCAGGTATGTTCCTTTTCTTGTGTCTACTGGTGGACCACTTGGCCATGTTTCACTCAATCAATTCCATGGTCATTTCTTGCATCAACTTGCCTCTTGTGGGTTGCTTTTTTGGCTTAGGACATTGGATCATCATTGTATATTTCTCATCACCTTATCAAATAAGCAGGATTTTTTTTTTTCTATGCCATTACCTCTTGTTGATATTATTTACATTTGAACTTAATGATTAATATCAACTTTATAGCAGTATGTGTTTATAGATGTTATGTAGACTGTGAATTCAAGTGAGATAACTCAAGGAGAATTGTGGATATTTAATTCTCCCATTTCTCTTTCTCCTTTGAGTGTATTGTATCCTCTTTTATTAAATCCTGTTTCATCCTGGTATATATCATTAATTTAATGGCTTTTAACTGTTTGACTTGGTCTTGATCTTGGTCAGTATTGTTAAATATTTTATTGTCTAAGCTTACAACATAATTAGAGTAACATTATCTATCTTGCCTTCTGAATGTCCACACAAATACCCACCTCGTTCTTCTCTATCTTATGGTGTTACCAGGCCTGAGGCCTATCTTTAGGGATAATTGAGCTTTACTTTTATTTATTTTATTTTGTCTCTTCTCTTAACCAGTATTTCAAATAAATCCAGTGCAGATTTACTGCTTTATTGATATTGAGAAGGGTAATTTCTTTACAGTGATTATTTGTTATGATAATTTATGTTGGCCGTGTGTATGAGCCTTCATGTTGGATGTAGTGGTACATGTTTTAAATATCTGGCCAGAACACAGAAGCTATGACAATTATTTCTTTCTACTTCAACTGAATAGAAAGCCAAAAAAGTTATTCATTTGGTATTGTTTAATGGTTCTAGTGTAGGTCTCAATATCACAGTTTTGTGGAATTAATTTCTCGCTGTTTGTTCCCATTCAATTAGGACATTCTACCACTGAAACTTCCATTTCAGATATTTGACTTTCTTTTAATTCTTTTTGCTCCTTTCTTCATATTATTCTGGGAATCTAGCCAAGGTCAGTCTGTATTTCAGTACTCTGTTTTTAAAATAAACTATCTTTTTAATAACTTCCCACAACCCTTTCCTCCTCCCCACATCATTGAATTTAGATGCCAGTGTAAGAAAGTTGATTTGTAGATTATATTGTGGATAATCTTCACTAACTGCAGGATAGCTTCAATAAAAGGGTTGAGTCCTTACACTTAAAATTCTTTATAAAAAGGTACCAGAGTCAGAAGTATGACCTTTCAAGTATGTACATGTATATTGTAGAAGAGTTATGATAAGCCAAATTTCTAACTAGTCTACAATAAAATTGAAAGAATGATTTTAGTAAATGTGATCTAATCATTAACAAGCTATTTAAAACATATACTTTTATATATGAGTGATATGGTGAGGTTATAGAGAGAGGTGAAAGTAAAGATCCAAGATAATTTGTTTTTTGGACTTGTTAATTTAAAAAGAATATTGAGATTTTTTGGTTTAATTATATTAAATGATTCTTTACAATCAGTTAAACTACATGAGTGTTACAAATATTCATGAATGATGTAAAATTAAGAGTTTTAATAGTCAGTCAACTGATGAGTATGGTTTTAAATTCTCTTTTAAACATTCCAATAATCTTTAAATCTTAAAAGGTCCTAATCTAGCTGTGGAGAATAAAACAAGTCATTTATCATATAAAGTTTTTTTTAAACATATCAATGAAAAATAGTTTTAGAAAATTTATTTATCTGTTGTTTTATGTTATGTATTACATTTGTTGTGTCGTGTTGCCAAATAACCTTCAATAACTATTGAAGTAACTTTTTTGTTTCAGAGAACGTCGGCATAAATTGTGGTTACAGAGGGATGAAGAAGCTCATCTTGAGTTTTGCAGAAAACAGGAGCTTGCTGAAAAAGCAAAGAAAGAACGAGAAGAACTGGCAGTAAGAACTGTTTAGGAATTGTAGTTTTGCAAGGATTAATTCTGCTTTTAGGATTTTTCTTAAAGCTTAGCTTATAGCATATGTTTTTAAATCATGGATTTATCTTTTCTTAGTTTTTAGGATACACACTCTCATAAATAATCAAATAGAAACCAACATAATGTAATTATTCATGATTATTTAATTACTATAAAAACTGATTCAAAAATCATAAAGCAGTGTCAGTAAAGCAAACCTAGTTGGTACACTTATTTGAGCACAGAGTATTGTTGGTATAAAAAAAAAAGCTACCAGTCAATATAAAGTCCCCTTTATATTGGAATGTTTAATTATGTAAGATATAAATAAACTGTTGTAACAGTGTTACCAAACAGACATGTTAAATACTGTGGAGTCTTGCTATAACGTGGTAGACAGAATCTGTATTGTGGGATCACGTTATAAGTGAGACATGTTATAAGAAAGTCTCGTCGAACTGCTACACAAAGTGGGTCCACAACCTGTACATTCACATGGATATCTGGGTAGCCCCTTTTTTATCTTATCTATGACGGTGAGCTTTTTGGTGATTGTGTATGATTTTCTGTTCTTGGAATTGTTGTTTGTAGTAGACATGATGATAGCATTGTTGAAATCATACAAGTACTGATGTTTTTCAGTTTTGGGGTGTCTCAATTATAAAATGCTAAGCAGTGGTCAATTAGAATAACCAAATTTCATTGGTTAACTCACTTAATTAAGATGGGGAACTTTCATTGTTCATTATCTTAACTGAGTGGATACGCAAAAATCTTAATTAAATACTAAACTTACCACGCTTAAGTACTTAAACTTGCTTAATTAACTTTTAGGTGGGTCTAAAATATTGGGATCCATGAGAAGTCCACATTATATTAATACCTAGTAGGTATTATTGTGTCTAAAAGATGGTTTGATGACATATGGAGTGATTTTGGATATTCATGTCCTTTAGGGTGTTGTTTTTTTCCTATAGAGATACATTCTTATTTGTATAATACCTTTAGGATTTTTGAGTTCAATGTATTCTGGCTTTAGTATGGTAGCACTTCACATTTGGAAGAGACACTTTCTATGATCCTGTGCTAAAAGGTACTACTTATGGTACTCTTTGCTAATTGGTTAATTGACAGTCCCATTAATCAACTACATTCAATTGATTGATTAGTACACAAGAATATACATTGAATTTACCATTTACCATCACAATTTCTTGATACATTACCATCAGATATCTGGTTAACCTTTTGTATACACGTTTGCATGTGTTAAGTTTTCTGTACTCTTTTAATTCATTATGTGTATCTTCACAAAATTTGGTATATCTTTAGTAAACAGTACAAGCCTTTTTTACACAAAAAATAAAATTTTTGAATGAAGTATTTTTACTAAAAATTTGTTTGTGAATGTATCAAGTTTGTTTCGTTACTAGTGCAAGTGGAAGTGATTTTCATATTATGATAAAAATGCTATTCTTCATCCCCAAAATCTCAAATTTCTTTTGTGTGATCTTTAAAACTTCCTAAATACATTTCAAACATTTGTTCTCAGTAAAACTATATCTTATCAGTTATTTAATAATATACTTGAGTCTTCAGCCTGTAGACAAATCCCGAAACTATAATGAAAAGACAAGTTGTAAAATTAGAAATAAAAGGAGCAGCTGTGCCATTTTTTCATTATTATTCTCATGAAGTTTCAAAGTAATTCTCTTACGAGTTTGAAATGCTAAACATTCCACATTTATTATCTGTGTTTATTTTACTGTCAATGATTAAAGTAGAACCCCACCAAAAATAAACCAATAAATTGCTGCTTGTATCAGTAGACTGTTTACATGACACCACTGTAATACGATATTCCTGAAAGCAACAAAGCCTGCTCAAAAAGATAGTTGACTTGACCCCTCCACCTAGAACAGGATGTCTAATGTATCGGGTTATGTATGCTAAAATGTTTTCTTGGAAAATTCAGAGTAATCACACTGCACTTAGAATCAGTGAAAATGTTTATGCTGACAACAGGATGTATAATTTATCAGCTTATGTATGTATCCTACAGTGTTCACAACAAGACTTTTCAAAAGTAACAACACTGCACTTTAAACCTTTCAAAACATTTATTATGTGGTTTGGTGTCGATACAATAAACATTGCAATTATTTGAGTATTGGTAATCCTTTTGGGGTGTTTCGAATTTAGCAGCAGAGATGTTATTTGGGTACATGCTTATAAAATCCTATTTCCCTTTTCAGCAATTATTTGTCAACCAATAAAAATTTAGTTTTGGTACTACTTATCATGCTCATTTAGTTTTGTAAGCCTTGTAAGTCTAGTCTTCTTTTTGAAAACATTATTACTTTTCCAGCTAAAGTGTGGTTTAGAAGTTTCCTTACAGTTGTGAAACACTTTGTGTGTTGTTACTGACTCTTACCTTGAAGTAAGTAATAATCATTTATAATATACATGTATACAGAATCAAATACAAAGTACAAATCTATCTGTATTACCAATATTTTGCAAACTCCATCGATATTTCGGCTACCATACATTACATATATACATACATATATATTTACTCATAAATGCTTACATTTTATTTATTTTTCTAATAACATGAACAATAAATGAAAATTACATAGAAAAACAATGATTTCTAGTACTTACGAAAAATTACAGTGATAGGAAAATATTTTGCCCTTGTGTTCCTTTAGTGCTAAGTTTCGTTTATTTTTTAAGTGGAGGGTGAAGAAATATAATTTTTGTAGGCTTCAAATATACATTTTAGATAGAAAAAAAATATATTGGATTACTCTACTAGTACACCCAAAACAGCTGTAACTTGCTTGAGTTTAAAAATAAAGTATATAGGTGTTAAAAATGTTTTTATCTCCATTCAGAACAACAACTTGGTTATCACCATTCAACAGTTTTGTCAAAATTATTATTTTCTCTTCCTAGCTCTTTACAAACAACTGTCAGAATCATGTAAGGCACAATTTGTCCTTTATATTGGTTATAAACAGACCCTTAAGAAAAGTAGATGGAACTAAACAAGAGGTTTGGAAAGAATGGAGTAGGAGGAGGTGCCACTCTAGTTGATTTGCTAGATACATTGAATTCTCAGCAAATCAAAGTGGTGGGAGGTTCTAAATTTATATTCTAGCTTGCCAGTATCTAAAATTCATGTTTCTAATTTATTAACCACTTGTAGATGTATATAGTAGATGTACAAAAATATATACTGAGCAACAAAACATGACGAGGTGCTATCGACATATACAAATCAATATTTAGCTATATTTTATTTATATTTTCTTTGGAATTAAGAAATTAAAACATATATAACATTAAAATTTGAAATATAAACAACGTTTTGATGCCAATTTCATTGATATATAATAATAGTAAAGTTAGTTTATAAAGTTTTGAAAATAAATTGCTAAAAGATCGTGACATGCACAGTCAGACTCACCCATTGCAAAAGGGTAATTGATTGGCCTGAACTATCAAACATTGTTTTTATGCTAAGTGAGTGTGTGAGAAAGTACTTTTTTAGCTTTCATTTTTATTAGCCACTACAACCAACTAGCAACCTCAACAAAAAAAATGGTCAAAATTAATCATTATTATTACAAACTGAGGGAAATGATTATTCAATAGACTAATATGCTTCATTGAGTCAGCACTTGCACCTTGTATCATAGTAAGTAAGCACTTTTGTATTTAACCATGTGCTACTGTGCTTCATAGTAAGCAGAGATGCACTGCTCAGCTAGTTTGGTTGCACTTTAATAAGGCATTTTTTCCAATTAAATGGTATTGCCCATTGGAGCACAATTTCTTTCCTACTTTCCTTGAGAGAAATTTATCTTCTCATTGACAGTATTGTGCATAGGTCATTTAGCCTTGCATTTGGTAAATGTTAAATGCTATATCATATAGAGCTAGGTGATTAGTGGTATTTGCTAGTTGATTAATTGACAGTCCAATTAATCAGTTACATTCAATTGATCAATTAGTACACAGAAAATTGGCAGCAGTAGCTATCAACCAGTTGCCTCCCTTCAAGTCGGCAATTCAAAAAGAATTTTAACACTTCCTTCAGAAGCAAAGGGGTGCCTTTATACTACAATTTGTTGAATATTAAAAGTAAGTTGAATCTGGAAACTCCCAAATAGGGTGGTTTTGAATGTATCTTTTTGAGACAACTTCAAGACAAGTTTTCATTTGTCAATTGATAAATTTTTAAGTGAAATACAGCATCCTCAAGTCTACATACTAGCTAGTAGTAAAATATACCTGCTGATAGTAAATTCAGTGTATATCTTTTTATGTTTAACTTTCAATTGAGATACGAACAATTTCACCTGCAATTTGGTAGGGAAGGTCAAAGCATCACGATAGTTAGCAGTAGGATAAACAGACAGGAATACTTTGAAAGCAGCTACAGGCATAATATTGTACTCGGTTTGCTGCACAATATCTATCAAGGTGGTTCTAGATGGTTCCTGAATACCTCTGCGTGTCATTTGAAGACTCTTGTGCTTGGATTTCAGTCACCTTACCACATCAAATCACTTTTTGCAGCCCCAATGCTAAAATAGTGTGGAAAATGTCTTCTTTTCAGCCAATAAAAATATCAAAAAAATTTCTGTTCAAATTAAGAAAAACTGGATTAGGTAGTTTTTTTTCTTTTCTTTTTTTTTTAATGTCCTCCACTGGCTCATGAGGGACCTGTTAAAAAATGTTACCAGCTGGTACCCAGTTGCCTTCCCTCTAGTCAGCAGTTCAAAAAGAAAAGAAAAAGTTGGTGGTGGGTTCTGCCAGCCACTTACCTTCCTGCTAGTTAGCAGTTCAAAACTAGTGACATGGACAGCTGGCCTTAATAGCTTAGATATAACAAGGACAGGGCAAGGAAGTTTGGTGATAATAAGAATCGAACCCATGTCCCTTGAATCATGAGCCACCCTTCCCTCCCCTAATCACCATAGCTAAACAAACTTGAAGCTTAAAAAAACTTTAAGGCTGAAATTGATAGCACATTATGTAACTTCAATAGTTGGAATAATAAAAAGGTTATAATGGGAAACCCTAATTTTTAGTAGTTAACTATTTTCATAGCAGTCGATTTAAATCATAATTTGTATTACTCGATTGTTTTTATGTTAATCTATATAATCGGAATTTCAATTAATTGATAAGTTTATGTGACACTAGTCAATGTAATCACTGTTTGTTCATAGATAGTTAATTAAATCAGCTAAGTCACCCAGTTCTAATATCATATGACTGAGACTGTTAATCATAAATTTGTTTAATCGTGATAAGAAAACTGCTTTACTTTACTGATGTATGAGATATGTTTTGCAAGACACAGTATGAAATTATAGTGACAGTTTTTTTTCCTATAGCAAAATCACCTCAAGGGAAGTCATAGATATTAATATATTCACATTATATTTCAGAGGAAGATGAAAGAAGAACTTGAGATAAGGGAACAGGAAGAACAGGAACAAAAGGATAATGAAGAAAAAAGAAGAAAGAGAAGGAGGTGATCTTTAGGAGACTTAAACTATATCCCTTTAAAGTCTCTTTTTTTTAACCTTTGTTTTAGTTTCCAATATCAAATAGTTAGATCTTACTTGAACAACAAAAGCAGAAAAATATTTGTATCAAGATTGCTTTCTGTTAAGGGTTGGCTTTAAAATATAAGTAATGTTATATTGTATTAGTTGAGTTGTATTTTCATAGTATTCTTATTCATTATAATTTATTTTATACATGGAGTTCAGTGTCCTAGTCTTATTCATGCTTGCAGTTTAGTTATCTTTTTTTTTCTATAGTCTTAAACAAATTATTAAGATATATAGTTCAAATTACAAATACTATGAACATAATCTAGCTGAAATTATTAGAATCAGAAATTAATTCTCCAGCTATATATTGTTTTTAAATAAGCTTCATAGGAAGATTTTGCCATGTTTTCAGCTAAAAGTATTCCTTAACCCTCAGTGCACTATTCTGACTCAAGGGGTAGTACATACAACAGTCCTCTCAAATATGTATCTTTTTGGATATGTTATGTGTTACTTTAACATATATGTAAACCTGTTCTGAGAAATGTTTTTGCATACATGCATTTTAATTAGTGCTAAGTACTTCCTCATATTATTAATAAGAATTATATTCCAACCTAAGTATCCTATATAACTTTTCTACTAAGAGGATAGATTTAAGAGTTCTCACCAAAATCTTTTTTTTAACTTAACTTTAGTACTAATACAATGTGTAAAGAAAATTCTTCCCAGTAAAGTTTTAATTCCTGGGTTCATGAAAATCTCTACATTGTGTTTTTGATGGCATTTAAAAAGTTATTATTGAAGATCTTAACAAGGACAGTTACATATGACATAAAATTCTATATACAATATTATATTGTGTTTGGTCCTTGTGGAATTAATCAGTTGAAGTGATGTTTATGAGAGAACTTTTTTCTCTTGTATTTTCAAAACACTGAAAAAATAACTGAGAAATATTAATTTGCTCATACTCAGGTTACAGTGGTCAGAAATGCATAATGAAGTATCTCCTCATTTTTACATTTTCATCTACATATCTGTCAGTAAACTTTTAGTGTTTTTTGTTGTTATACACACCGACAAACAATGCATGCTCTTTTAACTATTGTATCAGTTTCAGTCATAAGTAATAAAAGCTATTTAGTTTCTTTGAGTTTAAATTATGTAAATGTGGATTAAAATTGTGTTCAATGCCATATGCATTGTTGTGATAAAACATACATCTTAAAAATGTCTGAAGGCTTATAATGCTAAACACTCTAGTTTTGATCCCTGTGGTGGGCACAACATATACACTGCGCTTAACAACAAACAAAAGCAAACTTAAAAGTATTATTAAAAAAGACAATTTGAATGTCATTTGAGTTTTTCTTAGATGAGAAAACTACTTGATAATGTATTGTAACTTTCTGTTCTAAGAAAGTTCTTTTGTGGCAGAAATTATCCATGACGTTGCTGTGTATAAGATGACATTTTCCAGTGATGTTTAGCACTATCGAACAGATAATGTATGATAGTAATTAAACCATGCTTTTAAGTAACAGTTAAAACCATAAAAACTGGCTTTGATTTTCTAAACAAATGTTATAAAAATGAAAGTATTTATTCTCTATAACTATGACTATGGTTATATTTTTGTTTTGTTTTTCACTCTTCTCCATATTATATGTTATGCATATACAATATGGCTTCTAACAGTGGCCAGTTGTCTAACATTAAAGTATTTTCTGTTTCATTTTAATCTTGACTTGTATTCATCATCTGCCATTTAAACTTAACTATAGAAAATTTCAGTGTGGCATATCATTCCCTGGAGTTGGAAATTTTCTTAGTTTAGCTGGCTAAAACCTCTGCTTGGTAAGCAAAACTGTGGGGTTAAGTTCTGTCTTGTACCGAGGTTTCATTTCTTCAGAAAAACTGTCACCTAAGCTTTAACTTATGGGCTACATTTCTTTATCACTTGATATCACTGCTGAACTGAGTTAAAAAACCTTCCTAAGCTACTCAACAAAATACAAGAAATCTGTACTATAAATAGAATTGCATCATGTATTTCTCATAAATGAATTTGTATATTATGCAAAATGCATATTTTCAAAATCTTCCTTGGTTGATAGAAATACGTCTTGCCAGGAAACTATTTCATTAGGGATCTAAGGCATATTATACGTGTAGTTGAAAAAAACCATTTCTCATATTAGTATCTTATTTCATGGTGAGATTCATCTGTTAAATATAACTTCATTTGGTTATACTTGACAACTTAATAAAAAATGAAATTGAGAAAATAGAGAATTACTCTCCATAAGAAAAAATATAACAAATTGTTATATAAAATATAAATATGAATTTGTAACAAACAAGCCACAGCAATAGAAGCTTATCAAAAGAGTATTGATGTGAAGGGAAATAAAAGGTTTTCATTTAACATTTGCAAAATTAAAATAATACAAAAAATATGACCCAAGTATTAAATACTTCAAAATCAAATCATAATGTATTCTCCTCAGTTAACATTTTGTAGGTAGGTGTTTAATCCACAGGTGTGCTGTGCAGTGTTACGGCATAAGGAAAACAACAGCTTTTTGGACAATGCTTCATACATAACAACTTTACAGGTTAAATACATTGTTGGAAAATTATCTCTCTCTTGTTCAAAATGTGGCATTGATTAAATTTTTTGGAGGTGATAGGATTTTATACTGAGCATTTTTTTCAATGATTCTTAAATATGACAGAAGATTATTTTGTAAAATCTTTGTCAAGGTTGTAAGTTTTAAGTGAGGTGAAAATGCAGTGCTTTATGGTTTGGGTGCACAGTATTGTTTTATCATCTACATGTTTATGTTCATTCAGGTATGTAGTGGCCCTGAATTGTTATATGTTGCTAAGATTTAGAATCTTAGTTTACATTGCTTGGCTCTCAGATCATTATTTTTTTAGTGTAATAGAAAAGGGTTAATGTAGAGAAGTTTAACATAATACAGCTCTAAGATTGATTTTATTGACATAAGTATACTATGCAAGGTTTCAATAATATTATATCCTATATAATATTTATTTTTTTACAAGCTTATGAAAATGAAGATCCTTTTCTTACAAATAAATAACATTAAGTGCATAATTTTTCTGGCTACTCTTTCTCTTACCATGTTGTCAGCTATTTCTCAGATATGTTAGTTTACCTTCTATGCTGAATTCCCTCTGCTTAGGATACCCTGAAGGAAGCAATAGCCAACCTTCCAGAGGTAAGTTGAAGTAGTGTGACTTTATTTTTGTGTCTAAACACACTTTACAAATATATATATTTTTGAACAACTAGAATGTATAAAATTTCTGCCTTTGAAATTTTGTGTAGTGATAAAAATCTTTCAGTAACATATTCATCTTGTTTATCTATTTATAATTCTTCTATATTAAATTAATCAGCGAACTTAACTCAAGTACCAGCAATCATCATCTTTATACATGAGAAGAATTTTAATATTTTGAAAAATAACTTTAAACCTATTGCTAAAACATTCAGTTATATTTATAGGGAAAGAACAGAAAGAATATATTAAAGCTAATATCAATGAAATATTTCTAGTCAACCTAACAGATTTTTACTATTATCTTCTACCATAAGGTATAACGTACTGAAAATAATTATGGAAACAGTGATTAAAAAAGGTATGCAATGCAAATATTTCAGGAATACCACCCCTTTATTATCTGCAAGTGAACATCACCAGAGTACAGTCATGTATTGATAGTGTACACTGTGATTGGTTATCAACCAGTCAATTAAAAAAGTGATACATGAGTAAAAAAGCTTAAAGAAGTACAGACAGTCAGCAAGATTCCATCTTACAGTAGAAATTGTATGCAATAGTGTATGTGAAACTTACACAGATGATAATAAAAGTGGTTAAGGTAGAAATTCGAAGTTCTCAGAAAGAGATATTAAGTATCTGAGAGATGCTCCTTATAAAATTGATGAGAGTTGAGTACATGTCATGCCACTGACCTTGCTGTAAAAAGTGGTCTAAATGGGCATGTGGCTGCTTGAAAATCATTGCTGAGAAGAGGTAATCAAAGTAATAAGTTGAAGTGAGCATTGTACGACAAACAGTAGAATGAAAAAAATTTAAATCTAACTTTGTTCAAACTATTGGGCAACATCTAATGACTGTTTTTTCAATGGCAGAAAAGAGAACGGTATTATATTCAATACACAACATCTGAAGTATGAGCTAACAGAGTTGTTTATCTATACAAATTAATGGCAGCTTTACTGCAGACAAATACTTGCAGATTCGAATCATTCATGCCATTCCCTCAGAAACTCAGGCAGGATCTCATTTTCTAGTGAAACTGATCTCAAACATATGGAAGATTGGTGAAATGATATTTTGATGTTAAAAAAACGCATGAAACACAAACATGGCTTATCCTATTCAAAGTTCTGATATGAACAATCTCAAAGCTGTGTGGTTTATGTTAAATTTCCAGTTAAAAGATGACCAAACAAACTTGCTAAGTTATGGAAAGTAATACAAGCCAGTTAAAACAATATTTCACAATCATACATTGATAAACTCTGTGGCTTCATGAAAACAAGGTGTAATGCTCTGTTAAAATGTAAGAGCTAACATTTAAAATATTAGTGCATTGTACAACTTGTCCAATTTCATTTTGTTGTTACTGTGATGTTTGATATTGTTAATATATTCACCATCTAGCTTCCATTACTTGTTTTGTGCCCCTAACATGCTCAGAATCGCTCTGAGAGCACCTAATTTTCAAAATTTTTTGGGGGAACTCGTGGCACCCCCCCCCCCCCAAATCTCCAGCCAAATTTACTCATGCTATGCACTTGTAGCCCACTCCATGGAATTTCAAGAGCTTTTTTATTTTTTCCTGTTGACATCACTGTAGAAACACAACATCCTAAAAATCCACAACTACTCATTGTCCACAACCAATTATGGGCATAGTTACCACAAAAACTATTAATGAAACTTAAAGTTAAATAGAAATATCTTTAAAATCTTGCATCTGAAATACTGTAGGCCTTTTCCTGTTCAGTTTACTTTCATGCTGTAAATGAACATGCAACTCAAAATTCTGAATGGCCTTTATACATTGCAAAGTATGCATCACCCATAATTTGCTATTCTCCCATGTTCTACAAGACTTCTTATGTATGCATTAGCAGCTCTTACCTAAGTTCTGCTTTTTCACCATACGTCAGATTTGTTTGCATCATGTGTGATCTTTTTCTTCTTTTTTTTGTTTCAAATGTTAAATTTAGGTTACTTCTAATATTTTAGTTAATTCTTTGCTCAATTCTTCTTCTAATGCTTGTATCAGTGACAGAAGTCCTTCTTTTGAAGCTTAATTTCAGCAGTTTTCCCCTGGTGTGCAAGGAGCTACAATAGCTGCATTGTTTTCTTTTGTCAACAAATGTATTTGGGCAAATAATGCTGTATCTTATGTGGCTATCCCAGGTAAGTATCAGGGCCTCATAGACCCCAATTTGGTGGGTCATCACCCTCTTTCTTCTCTTTAAGAACAAGCTGGTTCTTTTGCACAAGTTTTCCACCTTTTTGTGAAGAGTAGGATTTACAAGCCAGCCTTAATCCTGATGAAGTTTTGCTGAATTTTTTTATTACTAGTTATGTAAAATTTAAAACCTAAATCAATTTCTGTTACATCTGAAGGTTCTAGTGTTTTGTTACAGTATTTCATTATAGAATCTTTATTTCTGCATCCTCCCACCATTTGGATTATGACTATTGCTTTTAGAAATAGAGGCAATTTCCAAAGACCTTGTTTGCCTCATATTTCTCATTCCTCTGGCATTTTAGCAGAAGCTTCTTTATGAGTTCATTTGTCATCTCAAACTTTAGAATTCATCTACATGGTCTTCCACCATATCTTCTTGTCAGTACTCTCACATTTGCTCAGTAATTAACTTGTTTTACAACTTTCTTCCGCAGCTCATTTATTAACTGTAAACTATTTTCATTCTTCTGATTCTTTTTCCCTGAAGCAAGTGAATACTTCCATTGTTCTGTCTCTACAGGAACTACTAATTAGGTCTCATTTACCACGTGGGTTGCTTGTTTTATGACTTTTATCTTTAGCTCAATTATTATCTGTGAGCTATTCTTAATCGTTTTCTCAGGAGCAAATGAAATTATGTGATGTTTCTCTTTCTGCAGTATTTACTTACTTTGTTACATTTACCATATGATTTGCTTGTTTTTGTGAGTTATTAGCTCTTAGAGCTATTTTACAGAGGATTTCCCGTCATTCACTTTTAGTGTTGTTTTTTTTTATGTCTGGCTTTGTGCATTACTTCATGTCATCATTCTACTTTTTTGCTGTCCAGTTAGTAATAGGTGTTCTACATTACCTTCTACTTTCTCTGCTACATCTTAAGTTCTCAACCTTCTGTTTCATCTTCTTTTGTAGAATCAAATGAAGTTGGCCATTTTGATCCAAACATTGAATTTCTTCCTTTCTGAGCAGCCCCTACTCTCAGTCTTTTAGGAGGCCATCTGGGATCCTGTGTTTATCTGTAGAACCCTTGGCTTTGGAAACCTAGGTTTCAACAGATTCATTAGTTTGGATTTTTTATCCAGTTACAGCATCCTCATCCACTTTTGACTTTTCCAGTTTCTTTCCCATCTGATCCAGTTAGTATTCAAATTTTGGATCAGAAATTTTCAAACTTTTTATATAAAGAAACTTGAAACGGTACTTCATGTTTTCCAAGTTTTTAATTCTCTTTTAGTAGGGCCAAATAAATCAAGAGATTAGGGTTGTTATTTGTACATTCTTCATTTTAAGGTGGAACCCATGAGAATCTTATGGAAATTCCTTCATCACGGGTTTTGGATGATAAATATGAATGTCAAAGATGCTTATTTACATGTCCCAGTTCACCTGGTTTCTTGACATTTGTTTTTGCTTTTACTACCAGGATGTGGTTTATCAGTTTACAGCTCTCTCTTTTCAGTCTTTCTTCAGCACCTTATGTCCTCACACATGTTTTCATGTATTATTTGAACAATTTGCTTATTCTTTCTCAGTTGTCTCTTCAGTCATTGACTCACATTCAATTAACCACCAAGTTAGCTTCTTCTCTGGGAAGGATTATTCACAAGCCAAAGTTTCATCTTGAATCTAATTAATATATGGAGCATCTGGTATTTTGGATAAATACTTTTCAAAGAACTACTCTTCACCCATTTCCTTTGGTTTTGCAATCCTTGGAATCTTGGGTGTAACTACTTCTCTCCTCTGTCTGCCAAAGATGTGGTCCATGTTTTTGGGATGGTGGCTTCTCTGTATGAAGCAGTTTCCTTGGATTGATCCTCATGTGAGTCACTTTAGTGGGATCTTGCCTGCCTGTCTTCAGACTCATTGTCTCATATAATTTCCTTTCTTCTGCTACTCTCATATACCTTGAAGTTTGGTTCATTGAGGGTTTAACACTGTATGTTCCACTTTTTTTCCCCACCTCATCCAGAGCTTCATCTTTTTCACAGATGCTTTTCTCAAGAGCTGGGTTGCTGTATAGGGAGAATAATATTATCTTTCAGATCTCTGATATTATTGGGAATGACTTTCTTGCATTATGCATGTCAAGAGTTCATACCGTTGTTACACCACCACTGTGTGTTACTTCATACAGATAATTCTACTCTGGTGGTTTATACCAACAATTAGGGTGGAACTCAATTTCATAGCCTTTTTTACTGCAGACTCTCTACTTCTCTGTATACATTCACATTACGTATATCTCCTAGCTTGTTATGTACCTGATGGTATGAGAACTATCCTGGGACCCTTTAGTATTTCAGTGGTTGATTTATGCATTGTTTTCTGTAGTCAGTCATATTTTTTCACTTTACTTGTCCGCAGTTCCAGATATCACTTCTCTAGTGCTGGAAGCTTCGAGTTTGAGTTAGTCTTGAGAGAAGGGTAGTTTTTATAAACAAGTATTTCTTCATTGACTTTATGAATAACATCCTTTTAATTACATTAATGATTTTAAGGATAACTACCATACCCACAAATGGCTGCAAACAGTGAGTTGTACTTGGGTTTGAGACATTATGGTCTCTATGATTCAAACTTTGGCCACTTTTTGATTTCACTTGAAAGTTATCTTGTTTTCATTTGTGTTATGTGAACTATATCTGATAGACAGGATACTTTAATGCTTTGGGTACTATTACTGCAAACATTTGCCTTTTGAAAGCATACCTTTTTTTACTTCTCTGTTCTATGTCTTTGTTTTTAGCAGTTACTTAGGCGGCTTTGTAATTGATTATGTGATAGTTATTTAAGATTAATATTGATTACAAGCATGCAGATTTACATTACATGAAATTTGTTTCTGTAAGTTCAAAAAAAGATATAATGCTATCCTTTAATGAAAACCAAAATTAGATTTTTGTATTACATTGTAAATCTTGGGGGTGCTGAGATATTTCTTAATTGAGTAATATACCTGAAAGTACTTATCACTATAATAGATTTTATATAAAACAACTAATTGCACAGTGTTAGATAAGCTTTAAAAAGAATACTGTATTTTACTTGTGATAAAAAATGTAGAAGTCTTTTAATATGAGTGCTTAAATGATTGTTAAGTTTATACAGCATTGTCTTCGGTAAGTTTAAATTGTAAAAAATTAAAGATAAAACATTTCATGACTTAATGTTCAGGGAGATGATACATGGCACAACCCTATTGCACCAGCTAACTATAATACAGACCAGCCTGAGAAAGACATATGCCCATTCTTTATGAAAACAGGAGCATGCCGGTTTGGAGAACGGTAAGCAGTATATATTAGATTGTTGTAATTTGTTCACCCGTTTTTGAAATTAACATTCTTTGTTTTATATATAAACATAGACCAGTTACAAAAATCAAGTAGTCTGAGATATGTGTATGAAATACCATAGAAACATTATATTCTACTCATGTGAAGACTTTTCTTTATATTAGAACACAATCTCATGCTTTAAAATTGTACATGTTCATCAGTGTTCATGTCATTCAAGTAATAACCTTGGTTACATAAAGCTAAGCATTGTTTTTAAGATGGATGGATCATTTTTTTATTGTTCACATTATCTTTGGCCAAGAATTGTATCTGTAAATATTCCAAAACCCACAGTTATTTGTACATTTTTCATAAGTTTAATGAAGTAAAACTAAGGATGAGCTAGTTAAGTGGTTGGTATTTGGTATCTAGGCAATAATACAAATTAATTGGAATTAGATGATGTTTGTTTATAAGAAGCTGATCATCAAAAACTGATGAATTTTGACTCCTCATTGACAAAAATTAAAAATATATATATCCACACACAAAAAACATTTTTATATCTGCAGGTAATCCTAATTCCTGATTATTCTCCTGACATTCCAGTTACTTACAAGTCCTAAAAATATTTTATGCACATTAGTGTGGTCCTTATTTGAGGTTTTGATTTACAACACTCTTCCCCCTAATTTTGTTCCAATGTATAAACAGGTAATACATGCTAAAGTTTATCTATATTGAATAACATTTAGGGTTGCTCCAAGTAGTTGAAATTGTAACTTGTAACTTGCATTTAATCTGCATATTCTAGAATGTTCCACAATATTCTAAATAATTCTTTAAGGTTCTAGATTATTCTGGAATGTTCCAGCATATTATTATGGAATAATCTAGCACATTTTGGAATATTGTAGCATATTCTGGAATATTCCAGAGTATTCTACATTATTCAGAATGTTCAAGAATATTCCATATATAAGCTGTAACTTTTTAGTTCTGAAATATTCTCTATCTGGCATGTGTTTTCAAAGTGTGTATGGGGCTTTCCTCAGATACAGACATTGATTCCAGCAATCTTAGGAATACATGGACCAGTGAAGTTATAAAACTGCAGCTGACCTTGATGAAGTAGCAGAAGCCACAGAAGTTAAGAATAGTGTCATTGAGTTTGCTAAAAGACTAGAAACGATTATCGAGAGCTTCTTGCGCTATGCATAATATATATATAGCCAAGCCATTATATGCCTGCAAGATCTGGATGTTTATCAGACAGTTTAAGCTCACTTGCCACGAGGAAAGAGGACTCTGTGACATCTGCATCTTTGTTTTTCATGACTATCTTAGGGCATGGTTAACTGCTACTTGTGACATTTCTGATCATAAAGATTTTTAACTTGTTACAATATTTTATTAAGTATAATAATGTCAAGCTGCCTGTCAAAAATGTGCTGGACATCTGTACTATCTCAATGAGGAACTCACTAGTTTAACATTTTTTGATTCAGTTGTATCCACAGAGTCAAAATGATTAGTGATAAAGGCACTAAATGAGAAATTAACCTCCAAAGTGCAACCAGCTGAATATCAGGAAGCCTTAAGACATGTCAAGTGAAAATTTTACCACAAAGAACACACAGACTTCTTCAGGTGCCTCAAAAATTCCATTTGGATTTTTGGATTATGACCCTGAGTCATGGGAGCTCAGGGAGGCACTAAAAACAGTTCAAACTTGAATTTGGTAAATGACAATGCTGAAAGGGATGTGGCCCTTACTGGGGTGCATATTGCCATCATAACAAAGAAAGAAGAACAGAAATTATTCCTCCTTCAAGTTGTGCAGGATCATAGAAGATTCTTTCCTATTAGCAAAAAGGAAATAACAACAATGCAAAAGTGACTAACCACACCAAAATCATATAATTATGAATAACTAACAGCTACAGCTACATTCTGATTTCTCCAAGCCTGTTCTCTTGGCTGTGGTTTCGCTAGATAATAGATAGGGACAGTGGGAATCTCGTTAATCCATTCATGCGCGTCACTAATTAGATGAAGAGGCATTTGGCTACCATAAGAGAGTCATAGTTACTTTCCCCGCTGATTTCTCCAAGCCTGTTCCTTTGGCTGTGGTTTCACTAGATAATAGATAGGGACAGTGGGAAGCTCGTTATTCCATTCATGTGCGTCACTAATTAGATGACGAGGCATTTGGCTACCTTAAGAGAGTCATAGTTACTTTCCCCGCTGATTTCTCCAAGCCCGTTCCTTTGGCTGTGGTTTCACTAGATAATAGATAGGGACAGTGGGAATCTCGTTAATCCATTCATGCGCGTCACTAATTAGATGAAGAGGCATTTGGCTACCATAAGAGAGTCATAGTTACTCTCGCCAAGTGAATGCTGGCCAATCACTGATTTACATTTTGGTGTTAGAACTTTTGTTTTACAGAAGGAACATGGTAAATTCTTTTCTTTCTCACTCTTATTTCTTATGGATGTGGGTACATCTTGTAAAAAAAAAAAAGAAATTCAATTATTTGAAGATAGCTTTTATATGCGGAAACATCTGTTAGCTGAGTTCTTGCACAGATCTGAAAATAGAACGTTCATAAACGGAAACATCGGCACATGTAGATATGTAGATCTTGAAAGTCAAGTTGTTCAAAACTTGAAAATAGCGTTGATTACTGGACCATTTGTTGGTTGAGATGTTGCAAAGGAAATATCTGCTGAAGCTTTTCGCCAGACACTAATCAAAGCAGAACCGTCTGGAAAATTATCTATAGGAAATAGTACAGCTTATAAAATGAGTCAGATCAACGTTTGACGTTTTCTGGATACCCATTTTCTAGTAAAATAATTTTAATTGTCTTCAATTTGAACTCTAGTTTAGATTTTGAACAGATAACTAGAGCCGGTGGACTAAAGTAGCAATAAGGTTCGTTTTGCAACTTTTAGGACTGAAAGAATCCCATCGTGTGTACTGTCCTGTAAATTATTACAAATTTAAACAGTAATTTTTGGTAACATTTCTGTTAAATTAAATTCTGATATGAAAAAAATGTTACTTTTACACCTTAGTCTAGATACTTCAAAGAACAAGGTATCATACATTGGATGCTTTTCACTGTTATATGTCCTGGTAGACAAAAACAATCAATTCATATATGTAAAAACAGGAAGGAGAAATTATCACTAAATCCAAAGACTTTCTTTTCATAACTCATTTTACTGATAGTGCTGAACAGGCTGAGCATAAGCATTGGTGTTTTAGGGTATCCATTATATCCATATTTCATGTCATATCCACTAACTTGTCAGGCTTGAGCCTAGTACATTACATGGAGGTGTACAGTTTAGTACAGGAGTGAATGTGAGTTGATTGTCATGTCACTGAATGCATCATAAAATGTGCAAAGGCTACCAGTGTAGGAATAACATAGAAGTAGGAAGAATACAAAATACAGATGGCTAAATATTAGCTATAAGCTAAAGCTTTCACATTGGGTAGGTCAAAGTGGACATATCACAACCTTTTAAAAGAGTTACATTCATAATTTAATTAAACTACATTATTATCATTATTTGTGATAAACTTGGCATCAAAGTGTACCTAATAAATCAAATTTTAATGTAATATAAATTTAATTTATTAATTTTATAAGCAAATATTTTTTAAAATCTTCAAACTCCCTTAGTATGAAAAGTGTGACATTTCCTCTCTTGATCTTTCCTGTTCTCTAATTTATTTACCACCCCTCCAAGAAGTATGGAATTTAATGTGAATTACTCATTATGACATTGCAAAATTCAATAGCCTTCAATCTTATTTGGTTACAGAGCCTTAAACTAGAAAATTAGACTTCTCTTCCCATTCCACCTGTCACATCCTCTCTTTCATAAATTACCAATAGTTCTCTCTTACATATATTATTCATAACCTATAGAAAGCCAAAGTTTTAATCTGTCAATTGATGTATTACATTACATTGTTTTCTGTACAAAGAATTGTCTATTTCGTCTCCATTTCCAAATTTCTTTCTCACAGGGAATCAAATCAACAAGCTTAGCTGAATTTCTAAAAGCTCTTATCCCATAGTTAGAAAGCCTGAGAAATTATGATAGTTACAGGACACTGTGTGGTTTTTACATATTATTATTCTGTGTTCTTAGGTTCAGGATATATTTAAATAAAAAATTATTTAGTGTAGTAATACCATTAGTACAAAATAGTAGGCTTAAGTTTCATCGACAGCAAAGAAAAATAAGACCCAGGTAAGTATTCTGTTTGTTGTTTTTCATTTGTATTCTTTATTTATTATTATAAAAGTAACTAAAATGTAAAAATCAGAAACTTGTTACATTAGATTAGGTCAGATAAAGAGTAATAATAATGATGATAAACTTTCTTCACAAGGTCTGCTCACGAGTAGCTTGTGTGTTATGTAATTCAATAAGTTAACGTGAGCTACATGTTTGCCAAGTAATTTACAACTTGTGTAGTGGGATTATTACTTAGACATGGTTCAAAAGGCAGCAAAATGATAACATAAAGTATAAATAGATGTATACTGTTACATGCATTAAACTATTTAGGATAAACAGTTATGGTTTTCTCTTACAATTTACAGTCATTCAAAAAAGAAAAAAGGTAATTTAGAATTATTTCCTAACTTCTTTATGCTGGTTATGAGGTCACTCAAATTGACCAATTTATATATATATATATATAGTTATAGTGTAGAAAATAAATGATAAGATTTAATGTTTTTCATGTTTTTAGAAGGTTTTATGGATTATACATATCAAATTTGAAAATTTTCAGATGAAGAAAAATATTTTTTATCTTAGCATTAAAATCACTGCACTTGGAGCAGTCAATGCTTTGACACCATACAATTATGGACAAAGTTTTAGTAAAATACTTAATAAAAAATTCTGATTTTTTTTTTCTACAAAAGACTTTTAATATTCAATGAAAGCTTGCCAAGTTTTGTAAAAATACATTAAGTACCTTTACAGCCATAGTATATATAACACAATGGTTACATGGTGATTACAGTGTCATGTAAAATACACCAGCCTATTGTAATAGAGTTAATTGGTATTCAGCTGATTTACTTATTGGCATATCCCTAAATAAGATATCATAATGTAGCTATACATATTACTTTTAATATGAATGATATTTTTGTATATTTTTTTTTTAAAGGTGTTCTCGAAGTCATCCATATCCTACAAGAAGTCCAACACTGCTGATTAGAGGACTGTACAGTCATTTCAGCATTGACAGAGGGATTCAGGATGAATATGATACAGATATAGGGTTAGAATTCGAAGATCGTGACACATACCAACATTTTAAGGAGTTTTATGATGATGTTCTTCCAGAGTTTAAAGAAGTGGGTCAGGTTGTACAGTTTAAGGTGTGCTGTAACCATGAACCACACTTGCGAGGAAATGTTTATATTCAGTATGCTAGGTCAGTAATTCTCCTGTGTACTTTGGTATACAGGGTTCAGACTGCTTGTCAGAAAGAGAATTTTCACTCTTAAGGAATATTACAATTGAATCAGCATTTCTTTTTGAAAACCCAATCTATTTGGTATGTTTAACTTAGAACATATAAAAATGTAAACAAAATTAATAAAATTACCATAATATTTGCAACATGGGTATGAACTGATACTGTTACTCTAAAACTCCAACTTAAAATATGAAATTGTTATAGATATATATTCTAGGTTAATGTATGGTTAATGTTGAGATAGATCAAAACAAAATAAGTTGAAATTGGATTCTTACCCAATCAGTTTAATTGTAATAAGAAAATTATTAGAGATTACAACACTGTAAAAAAAGCCTGTTATACAGAAAGCATATATGTCATTAACTGGTTTATTTTAATAAAATTAGATGTCTTTTTTTCAAAATTCTTGAAAAAATCTGTTTGTTTTTACACACAAAAAAACAATTAAACATCATTTACACTTTTCTTTCAATTACTTCCAAATCACTGTTTTTATTTTTGTGTTTTCATGAATATATTTTTGTAAACATAAAACTATGTTTTGAAGCTGCAAGATTTAAGCTGTGTGTTAATCATAACTCTCGTTTTAATATTCATAAAATTTATGTTTTAAACCCAAGATAATATATGATGCAGGACAGCATTGCCAATGTTTTGAATTTCAGCTACTACTAAAAGGGTAATATTATATGCTAGCAGTTTTTTTAGTTAATGAAAACAAGAAAACTGAAAAACAACTTAAGGTTTAATTCATGGAAAAGAAGAAAAAATTCCCTAACATTAAAAAGCAAAAAATAGCAATGTGAAAAAAGGTGGTCATTTACCTATGTTTCTTATCAAGACACAAACCAAATAATACATGTTCTGGACATTGTGTGTTTTGTAATCAAAATAGAAGTGAGAAAACTTATTCAAGTTCATTGTATTGACTGTAACTTTCTCAAGGGTCTTCCTGACCATATAATGATATTAGTTTTAATCTCGAGTGCTGATAAAATTAACTTGCCTAGATCTTGAATTGATATATTTATAATGTTGTTACTTGGTATAGAAGATCACTTTTAAGGGAATATGTACTAATAGGGTCTTTATATTTGTTTTGATACTATTCATGAACAAGTTCTGATATTGATCATATGATTGGTTTGTGTTTGGATATCTTTAGTGAAGAAATAGCAGAAGAAGCTTTCAGAAGGTTTAATGGACGGTGGTATGCTGGAAAGCAGATTAGCTGCGAGTACACAAATGTGCAAAAATGGAAATCAGCTATCTGTGGTTTGTAAAAGTTATATTTCATTACTAAACTGATATCTGCTGTGTGACTTTATGAGTATAAAATAGGAGTTTGTTATCATGGATGCTTCCTTATTTCCAGTAAAATGTTTCTATAACAGGAAATATGTTGAATTTATTAATTTTGTTTATTAGTATTGATTAGTAATACAGTTACGTCTTTTCTTTAAATTCTTGTGGTACTTTTGTGACATTTTAAAATACCAGTTTTATTAGTCATTTTCCGTAATCTCTTGTGAGCTTCAATCACGTTTTTTTAAACGACGAAGTAGATTTAAATTATTCTAATTACATATCTTATAACTTTTTTGAAATATTGCTTATATTAAATAATAATGATATGTGTGTATGTATATATATATACACACCTTCTGCATGAGTCGTGAAAAAGAATAACTAAAGTTGGCACATATCTTTATCAGTTATTTTCTTATGATAAGGATTTACTGTAATTTTTTGATTTTTTCTTTAATTTTTAGAGAGATTAAAAAGTATGAAAGTATTGTTATCTGGAACATTTTTTAAAGTTTGCAAAACATATCTTTTGTTCATATGTCTAAGATATTAATTAATAGTTTTATGAAGCAACAAGCACGTAGACTTTAAAATAATATATAGTTATGTCTTTCCAGGTCTCTTTCATCGAAATAGATGTCCTAAAGGAAAAAGTTGTAATTTTTTACATGTATTCAAGAATCCAAGAAATGAGTTTTGGCTGGCAGATAGAGACATGGATAATGAAAATAGCTCAAGAAATCATGATGAAAGTTCAAGATCTATGTGTTATTCACGTAGTTACCGTAGCAATAGATCAAGGTCACGGTCCAGTAGTCCAAAGTACCGAGACATGGCTAACCATAGAAGAAGGTATCGACATAACTCCCCAACACATTTCCATTCACCCTCTCGTCACTCACGAAGAAAAAGAAAGAATTCTCGTTCACCCTCTCCTCGTCAGAAAAGAAAATCAAGAAAAAGGGATAGAGTTCACACAAACAATAATTCAGTTTACTATGAATCAACAAGATATTCAAGGACACGTTACAGTGCTTCTCCAAGGTCCAGATCAAAATCATATGATAGTTCCTTAAGCTCTGACTCAGAAACTATTTCGAAAAGAAGGTCAAGGTCTAGTTCAAAGTCATCTGATGAAGAAGATACCAGGCCATCCCATAGATCCAGTTCTAGTCGTAAGCACAAATCAAAGAAAAAGCAAAAGAAGTCAAAAAGAAAGCATGTTGTAGAATATTGGGAAGAAAAGCCCATACCAATCTGTTTGAAAAATGAAACTGATTCATAAACTCATAAAAACAAAAGTTTTAAAATGAATGATCTTAAAACTCATTCAAGAAAAAAAAAACCTGTTGTGTGTATATTTTTGTACATCAAGTGTAATGATGTTGGTATTATCTTTGTTATGTATATTTATATCATTGGTAGATTTTGATGTACAAAGATAATTGTTAAGATTTGTTTTATGCATTTGGAAATTATCTTAATAAAGTATGTTTAAATAGTGGGTAAATAATTCCTTGTTTTGTTTTTATTCTAATGTGATACTTGAAAAAATCATAAAGCATTAATGAAAAATTTTTTTGTTTAATTTTACTACTGAAATTGAAGAGATTAACTCGTAACTTTCTCAGTAAAAAATTTTACTAGGTTTCAGTATCACAATCTATCCAAACAAAATTGTTTCTAGGAATGTGAATTTCAATATCACTTAAATAGTGACTTAAATGAGAATGATTATAATGAATGACTCATTTTGAAAATAGTAACTAAATACATTTTATGAATTTCAATTAATATGTACTATCTATAAAGTTGAAAAACTATAATGAGAGAAAAATAACCCAATTAATTTTCATCTGAAATGCACCATGAGTAAAGAATCACAAAATTCAAAAATTAGGATTAAACTTGAATTTTAAATTTCTTGTGTCTATCCAAGAAATCATATAGAATGTATTAGAATTTAATTTTTGTAATATTATACAGTATAATATATTTCCAATTATTCTGGGTATGTTCAAAATTATTTAAATTTCAAAACATTTTGCAGCTGGTTGTTGTGATAGAAAGGAGTGAATAGATTCCTAAATATCATAGAATTTTTCACATTACTTAATAATGTAAGTATCTAAAAAGAATAAATGAAAAACACATACATTACATAAATATATCTACAGACTATTAATATGTATTTGGGACATTAGTTGTCCCATACTATAATGTGCTGTTAATCATTCTCTGATTTCATTATTTTTGTGTATGGTAGTTTCAGTAAAAAAAAAAAAGTGGTTACAACATAATTGCTGTCTGCTGGTAAGTCTACAATCTCATTGTTTTAGTTATTTGGTTAAATAATTACCTATTTTGCATTTAAACTGTGATAATGGAATAAATCTATTAAAGTTTAAGTGAAGAACATATGCACTGACACTGGAGAATTATTACATTGAACTACAGTTATATGTTTAAAAGAGTTATATTTTTGGATGTATATAAATTTGTTAATGTATGTAATAATAGAGGTTATTAGGTCTAGTTTTAAAAAAATTAACTGCAATATATTCTGGTAATTGACTTAGAAAATGCTTTGTTAAATCTATTGGCTAGCATACTTGGCTGCAGATCACAGGATCCATAGTTCAGTTAAATGATAATCAAATGAGAAAATTATTGTAAGATACAAGAATATGGGTATATAATCAAACATTTCAACAGTAAACTGTGTGGTAGGAAAGCCATCAGATTTTTGTAATATTTCTAGACTTAGTTGTTTGTAATAGTTCAGTCTTCATTACTGTAAAATCAAGAGGAAGAGTTGGTCACTGAAGAGAGAAGATTGGACAAGAGAGTTGTCAGGTCTATGAAAAGTCCTCTCTTGTAAATCAGATTTTTGCCAATGCTGCAAAGGTCCATGACTTCCATCTCGTTTCAGCCACTGTCTAATGCATCCAGAATGGCTGTTCTCCTGTGGACCAACCTCAATTTGAGGGAAACATGGATGATAGGGGATTGTCATTATAGTCTGGGATCCTGACAAGCCTGCAACCAGGTAGGATGGTCTATACAGGGCTCCCAGACCTTCATAAACTACGGAAATCCAACCAAAGCACTGGTAAAAGCCACCACAGAACCATGATGGATGATGTTTGCCAACAGTAACTATCTGGTGAGATGGTGAGCTCCAAATGGTGAAGTATGTGGACCATGTGGCAGCAGTGGGAGATGTACTACAGAAACAACCATGGGTCACAAAGCAGTATGGGGGCAAAACTGATGCACGAGCTGCCAATACCAATTCATTGCTTATTCACCCTGAACCAAGGATTGACCACTTAGGTAAGGTGAAATTTCTGAGAATGTCTAAAATGCTCTGTCTGTGTTTTTGAAGACATCAGAGTCAGGGTAAGAACCAGAAAGTCATAAGGTAAAGGTTTCTGGCCATTATCACAAATACCTGTGTATGAGGCAAAACAGAACACCTTTTGAAATTCAAGAGTACAGTGAAGGAGGACTTAGACTGTTTCCTGAAACATTTTAGGTATATTTACTGTTTAGAATGGCTGATCTCCAAAGCATGTTGTACCTGGTCTTAAGCTTAGCTTATCTGGACCTAGACTCCAAGTTCTTGAGCAAGGTGCAATGTTGAGACTGTGAGATTGTCATTACCAATTTGTGCTGAAGGTTTTGACCCAGAGATAAATAGAACAAACCATCAAGCTGACTTCAAGGCTTGAAAAAAGATACCACAAAGAGCTTTGCCACATACAGAGATAATATGCACCACTTCCTTGGTAAGGCCTACCCATAAATGGTTTCATTAGATCACAATGATATACTCATTGACAAATTTGTGGAAGGGCTACTCAGTGAAATGATAAGGCACGTCCTGGGTGTAGAGATCTACTCACCCTTACTGAGGCAGTCTTTGTGGCAATGAGATACAAAGAGAGGAAGAAGTCTGCATCTGCAGTGGATATACCTCAATCAGACCATCTTACTCGGGTCATACCAAGCTCAAGCCTAGCAGAGGGTTAATTATCCCAGTGTTGTGATGTAATCACATTGATATCCAGTAAATGGGTAGGGCTAACCCAGTCTTTCAAAGGTTTACTTGCTGCAGCTTAAACTGACGATGGTTCCACTTGGATGCTGTTCCGAAAGTGAGTAGTAAAGCATTTGCTTTACCTAAGGGGCATTGAGTCACTTTCAAGCAAACTGCAAGGCTAATGGTTTCAAGTTTTCAACCATTGACTCAACAGGTGTAAGAGAACCAACAACAGGCGATTAAAATCCACTTACAGTCCTAGAAAACTAACATATCCAAAGTCGGGACTGGCCACTGACATTATACAACCACACTTTGTCTCCTGGTACAAAGCTGACTTCAGTAGACTTCTTATCATAACATAGCTTCATCGAATCAGCAGACGTTTTCAAGTTTGAACGCACTTGATGGTGAATATTATCCATCCTTTCCGATAACACTTTCACGAATTCTGACACATTTTCAGGCAACTCTTCATAAGGTGGGCGTCCTGTTACCAGATCCACTGTCAACCGAAGTTCCTAACCAAACATCAACTTTGCTGGAGTGTATCCAGTGGTTTCATGCTCTGCTGTCCCATAGGCCATCAACAGTGGAGGGAGTAAGACATCCCAGCCATCTTGGCGACTATTACAAAACTTTGCCAATTCCTGTCCTAGTGTCCAGTTGTAATTTTCTACCATCCCATCAGACTGTGGGTGAAGTGGCGTTGTTCTGGTCTTTCGTATGCCAAACAACTTGCAGCATTCATGGAACACTGCTGATTCAAAGTTACGGCCTCGATCTGAATGCAGTTCATATGGCATACCAAATCTGAAGAAGAAATCACTAATAGCCAAAGCTACTGTTGTAGCTTCCTGATTTGATATTGTATATGCCTCAGGCCACTTGGTGAAAGAATCTATCACCACACAAATGTACTTGTTTCCTGCATGAGTTTGGGGCAAAGGACCAGCAATGTCAATGGCTACTCTTTCCATTGGTGTGCCAACTTGATATAACTTCATTGGAGCACTTGTACGCACTTGATGGTGAATATCATCCATCCTTTCCGATAACACTTTCACAAACTCTGACACATTCTCAGGCAACTCTTCATAAGGTGGGCGTCCTGTATGCTTGGGTCCCCTTTTAGCACAACATGTACTGCATGTCCTGCACCATTCTTCCACATCTTTGCCTCATACCTATCCAGTAAAATCTCTGCCGTAGGTGACTCAATGCCTTCTTAACTCCGAGATGTCCTCCTGTTAAACTGTCATGGGATTGACGCAAGATAACCTCACATAACTTTTCAGTATAACCATTTGCCAGGTCGTCACTTTCCCATCTGCAGTTCCCATCTCCGGAGAAGAATGCCATCTTCAAGCTTCAACTGGTCCCATTGTGCCCAATAGTTCTTTGTCACAGGGCTTAGACTAGACACCTTCTCCCTTCTCTTCTGTCCTTTATGCCCATGAGCTCAATAGTTACCCATACTGGTCCCCACAACCTTGCATAATGTCCTGTCACACCACAATGCTTCTGTATGGCTTCTGGTACTCCTACGTTATCTAACACCTCGATGCTCACAAGGGTTTGCTGAGATGCAGAATCTATGACAAAGTTGCACTTTTGGCCATTCTGCTTTCTTGTCATGCAGACACTGTGTGTGCTTGGAATTTTACATCTAGCTGTTGGGACTTTCACGAATTGGGTTGGTAGGCGTCCATTAACAT